GGCGGGACCCCCGCCCAGGTTTCTTTTCTCCGCGCGCCTACGGCCCCTGTGCGCGGACCCCAGCGGGAGTTGGGGCTGGGGGGGCGGCGGCGGTGGGGCGGACAGCCGGGGTGCGCACCTGGGCCCCCCTGGCCATGGCGGCGAAGGTGGACCTGAGCACCTCCACCGACTGGAAGGAGGCAAAATGTAAGTGTAAGCAGGAGGGGGGCGCAAGGAGCGCGGGCGGTCCCACGTGGGCCTTCCCCACCAGCCTCCTCTTCGCCGAGACCTGGGGAAGTTCGCCGAGACCCGGGAAGTTCGGCCCGGCTCGGCTCACCGAGGTCCCTTTCACAGCCACGCCCCCACGCGTGCCCAGTGCCACAGACCTGTTTGCCCCAGAGCGGGAGAGGGTCACAGGTCGTCCAGGATCTTTCGCCTTCCTCTCGTGCGGAGGGAAACCGAGGCCAGTGCTGAGCGCCTGTGCCCAAGGTCACACTCCTCACCCTCCTGAGCCCCCGTGCTTTGCACAGCGCTTTCTCTAGTGGTGGCATTTCCAGCAGAGAGGCAGGAATGGGCAGAGGGCACAGCTCTGGGGTTGGCTCCCACTTAGTGGGCTCTGGGGGTCCCCACTGAGCTGCCTCCCTGGACAGACCTGTCACATGTCCAGCCCACCCAACCCAGGGGCTGGCTCCCTGGTCATGTGGTCTGGTGCCCTTTTGACCTCATCCTTGGCCTCTGGCCACTTGTAAGCTGTTTCTGTCCCCTTCCTGCAGGACACAGGGAGAGGGCTTGGGGGCAGGACAGGGATAGGGCATTGTGTCTGTGAGGACAGTGCCCCCACCCCAGTCAAGCCATTTCCTCACACTCTGGGCACCAGTCCCGCTCAGGCACCGGTCCCAGGCCTGGACTCAGCCCCGCTCAGGGCAGGGCAGGGAGGGGACCAGAGAGCCCATGTAGTGCCAGCTGCCGTCCAGCTGCCCCTGCCCTTCAGCGCCAGGTCCCTGGCTCTTTGTGCCTGTTCTGGCCCTACCCTCTTTCAAAAGCACAGGAGAAGGCAGCTCATTGGCTGGGTGCAGAGGTGGGGTGGGTTCAGCCAATGGGCTCAGGAGGCAGCCCCCGCCCAAGGGTGAAGGGGAGGTGCCCTCTCCTCACTGGGGAATGGAGGTGGAGCTCAAGTTGATTGACCCCTGTGGGCCTCCAATTGCCGGGTTCTTACTGGTCTGGCAGAAAGCATCTGACTTTGGGCTGTGGGCACTCGGGTGCCTGTCCTGCCCTCGGCCAGGGCAGGGGGTGCAGAGATCCCTAGCCAGGGGCTGTCCCCCCCTGCTTGTCCTCTTCTGCAGGGAACAGCCACCCAGGGTGGTGGCAGGGGAGCCCAGCACGCCTGCAGCTGCAGCTCTTGCTGGGACCTCCACCAGCCCGCCTGTGCCCTGGTGCCACAGGAAAGCCCCAGGGAGGCAGTGGCATTGAGGCCGCCGTGGCGTCTCCGCCTGGAGCTGGGCTCTGCATCCATGCGTTCATTTGTTCAGGGAATTTGGAGGAGAGTCTTCTGCGGTGCCGGCACTGGGGCTGGGATTTAGCCTCATGGAGAGTCCTTTGGGGGCCTGGGGAGGGGCAGTGTGGAGAATGAGCAAGCCCATCAGACAATGCCAGGTGGAAGCCAGCGCGTGAAGAGGCCACGGCAGATGGACATTGAGCTCATGTCCAGGGAGCCTTATCCCAGGTTTCCCCACACTCGCTGTGAAGCTTTCGCAGGTGTGAGGCGGTCACTTGCCAGGGTGAGGAGGAGCGAGACCTCCGTGTGTTTCAGTTGTGACAGATGACCCCAAAGCAGCGCCTTCAAGCAGTGGACACTGGTGGTCTTGCCATCGCCAAGGGCCTGGCTGGGAGGCACTTGACTGGGTGACTGGCTGGGACCGCTTGGGGCCGGGTGGGCATCTCTTGGATGCTCAGGTGTGTCGTGGCTGTGGCTGGCACTGGGCTCTTCCCCCAGGGCTGCTTGAGTGTCCTCACGAACGGACGGACGGTGGCTCCCCCCTGGAAGATGTGTCCCAGGCCGGGCGTGTGTGTGTGAAGGGGACTGAGCTGGAGGCCCCAGTGCCACGCTGTGACCCAGACTGGGTGGCACCTGCTGCCTCGCGCTTTACACTCGGGCTTCGAGTCCCGTCTCAGACTCCAGCCCCCTGGTGAGCAGGGAAGTTAGCTCCCAGCTTTTGAAGGAAGAGACCCAACCCCAGGCCGCGGGAGGCTGGGGCAGCCTCGTTCTGCCTCTGGGGGGGTCTGACCGTCGGTCTCCGGAGGTGGTTGCATGGCGGGGGCGGAGACTGGGCCTTGCTGTACCGTGCGTGAGCGGCCGCTGCTCCCATCACCGCCCATCACCCAGAGCCGTATGCAGCTAACCGTTTTCTTTGTCCTGGGGTGTCTGTTCTCCGACTCTGTGAAGAGGGGTGTTCATGTGTCTGGCTCCTTTGTCTCACTGTGCAATTTGTCCGCGTAACGGGGTGTTCTCCCAGTTGGCTCTTCTATCGCCCTCTGAAACTCCATGTCCGGGAGTCGGGGTGCCGGATTTCTTGGTGAAAGGCAGGGGGGTTTCCAGTTTGGGACTGCTCTAAATATCTGTGTCGCTTGGATGGGGCTCGAAATACCTGTGTGTGTCAGACTGGCACGCAGAGACCAGACTCACAAGGCTGCGGCAGCGGGCCGACGGTTGCTGTGCGCTTGGTGGTGGGTCTGGCCAGGGCCTCCTCTTGCCCTGGAAGCCGAGTCATGGGCTTCAGTTTGCCGATGAGCGTGTGCGCTCAAGCCGGGCGCTGCCGGGGAGTCCGCCTTGCGGGGCAGGGTGTGTGGCTGCTCTGAGCGCCGGGTGCAGGGCGTGGGCGCCGCCCAGGGAGTCCTGGCGGGTGACTCTGCCTGGCTCAGGGCGCTCCTTTTCTCTGCTTTCAAGCTGACGGCTCCGTCAGCTGCTGGGCCCATTGCCCCGGGTGGGTGACCATCACCAGACTGAATCTTCTCCACCAGAAGATAGACAGCCGTTTTGGGGAGAGCTCGGCAGTATCTGATTTCTCAGCGACGGCTAACGGCTGATTCCCTCAGGTCGGGGCACTGCATTAATCCCCTGGGCTCTGCCTTTTCCTCAGACGTGCTGTCAAGGCAGCTGGAGAGAAAGGCGCTTAACAGGCCCTTGGGGGGCTCCAGGGCCTGTGTCACCACAGGAGGGGCCCGGAGAGGGCGAGGAGCCTCATTCGGCCTGAGGTGGGCACAGAGCCGTGCAGAGGATGGGCTCGGCGTCACCAGCCACGGGCTCTGCTCCGAGCCTCGGTCTCCTCATCTATAAAATGGAACCAGTTGTGCCTGGTTTGGAGGTTGTGCTGGCTCACACTAGAAACCGTTTTCTGGCTCCCCTCCCCCCACATGTTCTCAGTGCTGGAGCCCTGACCCCCCCTCGCCTGAGCCACTTTCCCTCTTCCTGGGGGCTCTCGTGGAGTTCCCATGCCCGAGCCCCAGTTTGCTCTGGGCAGGGCAAGGACTTGTTCGGGCGCCTGCAGGGCTTCACCCAGAGGGGCGGCTTAGTTGGCTTGGCTGCACTGGGGCGTCCCTGGGACCCCCTGGAAGGCTCGGGGAGTGGGGGGCTTCTCCCTGCTGTCTTGCCTGTCCAGCGCTCCGGTGTGGCGGAGGGAGGCGCCTGGGGAGAGCTGAAAAGCTCCCACTGCTTCTGGCGCCCATGAGCCCCCGCTCCCGGGGACGGTGAGCGCAGGTGATTAATGCCCCCGAGCCCGGCAGTTGCCAGCCTGCCCGCCCGGTCTCCTCGAAGAGAGGCGCCCGGACCCAGCCTGCCCTCACCTTTCTCAGCACCATCTTGCAAAGTGCCATCAAGATACTTAATAAAACACATCGCTGCGTTCCCCTCGGCCCGCTGCGCTTTATGGCCCTGGCTCGGCCGCCTCTCCGCCTCCCACCTTGTGCCCGGAGCCGCCGCTGCCGTGTCTGGGTCAGGCCTCCCCATCAGAATTTACTGCGGACATCTTTTACAACACCTGTGTCACTGAGCTGTGAAATACGCTCATCTCGCTAGAAAAGGAAGAAAATTAAAAGTATGTTGTACATATTTTATAAGAAAAATAAAACTCACTTGTGCTTTCAGTCTGCACCTGGCCTCTGGCACAGAGGTAGAGGATGTTGTAATTGTGTGGGGCTCCGGCCCAGCCTGGCTACCTGCCCCTCCGCCTTGCGGGGCGGGGGGCGGGGGCTGGGGCAGCCCCTGCCCAGAAGTGGAGCCGAGGACTGTGCGGGTGCATCGGGGGTCCTCGGCGTGGTGGAGAAGCGCCGTCCGCGTCTTTCCCCGTAAGCAGGGACAGCGCGGCCTGGGTGCCTCGGGACCAGACGGCCACAGCCTTGCTGGAGATGAGGACACAGCAGCCACAGGCTGGCCTCTGCCAGTGTGTGCTTGGGGACCGTGGCCTGGAAGGGACAGACGGACAGGAGCTCCCAAGGTCAGAGCCAGCAGAGCCAGCACAAGGTGATCTCCCGTCGTCTGGGAAGCTGAGTTTGGACTTGGCTTGCGTGGATGGGGGCAGGGCAGGACAGGCCCTTGGACTTGCCTGGTGGCATCTGCCAGACGGTGTCTGCGAGGGGACTAAGGCATCTCGGGACACCCTCATCTGGTGTCCCCGCGACCAGAGCACCCTCTTGGGGAGGCCAGCGGAGACAGTCTGGGTCCTGGCTGACCTTCGTCCGGTGTCACAGCAAGCCCTGGGTCCAGCTGGTAGCACTGGCCACGTGAGGCCTGGAAGCAGGAGATGGCTTCGGTCACGGTTGTGCAAGGTGACAAATACGAGGAATCAGTAAAGAGCTCCTCTACCTGCTCTTTCCCCAAGTGGGAAAAAATGTATCCCCTCCCGCCAGATGCAGGCTTCTTTGTCCATGTTCTCTTCGGGATGTCTGGAAGGACAGTGTGTGTGACGGGACGCTGCGTTTTACAGCCACAGCCACCTACTGGTGAGCCCACACCTGGGCCCCGGAAAGGCCTGCGGTCTCCGTGCCAGAGATGAGACCCAGAGGGCGCAGCTTCCTGGGAACCAAGGAGGTCGCCGGGGGGTCCCCTCTTGGGGAAGTCTGGCCCCCCGCCTAGTGGGGGTAGGAGCCAGCTTGGACCTGGCCAGTGGCCGCTGCCCCGTGGGGAGGCCGCCACGGCCTGACTGTGCTAGCCTGCTGCTGTGGGTCCCCGGCCTGCTCGCCCTCCCCTGTGGCTGAGTACATACTGTCCCCTCGGCCCAGGAGATGATGTTCTTTTAGCGAACCTGTCCTCACCTTCAGGTCTCCTGAGTGTGTTCATTGATTCCTCTCCCACGCACCACGACTTGCTGAGCCAGTGTGAACAGGACAGGTTCCTGCAGGGCCAAGGTCAAGTAAGGAATAAAGCACAGACGCTGGGGAGGGACTTCTCTGGTCAGGGGCAGGGCCTCAAGGAGCCTGGGAAGGAAGCCAGGCTGGAGTCACAGCAGGTACCAAGGCCCTGAGGCAGGGAGCCGTCTGGCTGCTGGAGGAGCTGAGAGGTGTCTGGGGGGCCGGGCGGGCAGTGAAGTGCAGGCTGACCATGCTTGGGACTTGGAGTTTGGACTGAGCTTTGAGAAAGCTTAGAGGTCCTCCCAGGTGGCTCAAGGGGGTTAAGGCGCAGCACTATAAGCTATCGCAGTCACTGCAGCATGAGTTCGATCCCTGGCCAGGGAGTGATCCCCCGGGTGCAGCGGACCCCTCCTGTCTCCAGCTGCTCCCCTCAGGATTGTGTTGCAGTCAATTAGCCTGTTCTGCTCCCCACTCTGTCTCTAGTGAATCCCTCATACCCACCAACCCCCGCACCCACTTTGTGCATTAAAACAAAAAAGAGCTTAGGATGCATAGGCCCCTGGGCTGCTGTGTGAGGCAGCAGGGTGGACACAGGACTCAGCCGGGGGCTGGGGTGATAGAGCGGCCTGCAAGCCATGAGGACGCTTGGCCTCTGGAGGGGGGTGAGCAGAAGGCTTGGTGTCCGGGGTGTTGGTGTTGCAGAGCTAAATCTAACAGCCTGCAGCTGGATGGAGTGGGGGTGGGGAGCAAGCAAAGGGAAGATCCCCGGTTTGGGCCCAGTGAAGTCTGGGGCTATTCATTGAGAAGCTGAGAATAAAACACGTTTTGGGGAAAAGGAGTCAGAAGTTGAGTTTTGCAACGGGGGGTCGATGCTCTGAGGAGGGTGGGGGCTGGAGGTGCAGCTCGGGGTCAGGCCCGTGAAGAGGGTGCTCGAGAGCATGGAACTAGAGTGCGAGCTTTGTGGGAGGGCAGATTGCAGACGGGGGGGGGGGGGG